GGAAGAGGGCCACATAGGAGAGCTGTATCAGAAATACCCATGTTGGGAGAGTGAGGAATGAACTTCTGTTAAGCCATTGGCTCAGTAGGTGTTTATGTGGCTGAAGAGAGAATATGGAAGATCAGAAGGTGGGTGTAAGCAGTGGTGTGTGAGAGCTAGCTCCTACCAACTCGTCTGATTGTTCAATTTTCAGGTCCTCTGCAAGCCAGCCAACTTCACACAGATAGCCTGAAATTGGCCAAGGTTGGAATATGTACAACACAGAAGTTATCAAACACTGAAACCAGGCTTGTTTTCCCAGAGCTGGTTGTTAAACACTAACCAGGACCAAGTATCAGAGAGTGGGAAGGCAGCATGGTACAATGGTCCTGGACTGTGATGAACCATCAGAGATGATGCCTCCAACACATGAAACTCCCTAGGCCCTGCCAGCATTCAGGCTTCTCCTGACAATGCCCTGTCTTTGCCAAGTCCTTGTATTCAGCGATGCTGGAAACTGAGAGAGGACTGGAGGAAGCAAAAGGGGTGAATGGTCAGAACTATCTTACAGGTAAAGAGCAATTTACAGGCTTAAAGCAGGGTTTCTCATTCTTGGCACTGTTGACGTTTGGGGCTGGATAATTCTTTGTTTGGCGGGGGGGAGGGCTGTCCTGTCCATTGCAGCATGTTTAGCAGCACCCTTTGCCTCTACCCATTAGATGCCGTTAATTACCCCTTCTCTCTCCGGACGTTGCCAAATGACCATTGGTGCCAAACCCACCCCCCGGTGAGAACCACTGACTAAGAACTATTAGAAGGAAGACACACCGTCAGGGAGGGCTGGATCTCAGCCTCCAGTTTCAGCCCTGCACAATTTAGAAAAAGCGCTCTTGGATTCAATCACATGCTGCCTCCTGCAGCGGTCTGTAGCAAACTCTCCTCCTATGCTTCACGTCTCCCTGATCACACCATTTCCTTCTCAACCACGCCTTTGAGACAGGGCCTGGTTTCTTCGGCTCTTGGTTTGGGAGTACCTGCTGGGGCTCTCGAAGCGCTTCAGGTTAAGTTAGCTCCTCCTCTCAACATCAGGCGCTGCGATCCCTCCCTCGGGACAGTAGAGTACAGTGATGGAGAATACCAGTTCTCATGGCAGAAGGTCTGACTGGATCCTGGCTCTGCCCTGCTTTAGCTGCGTGACTCTGAGCACGTTTCTTAACCTCTCTGAGCCTCCATTTCCTTGTTGATCACAAAGGGAAAGTACGATTTCCGACCTCGCAGAGTTGTGAGAATAAAATGAGATCACGCCCAACAAGCCTTGGCTCTTGTTAAACTGATTTTACAGAGCGCAGCCTACGTGGTAGAGCCTGTGCCACATCCTGGGGGTGGACCATTGAGTAAAACACAAGTCCCAGGCCCTGTTACACACACCTGCTGGGGAAGATGGCGTAGTTCTGCTGCAGAGTCGATGCCAGAATAGGAGAGCCCCCCAGTGCGGCAGACACCCACAGGAGGAGCCTAACCAAGCTTTGGGGGTTAGGAGGAGGCTCCTGGAGAAAATAAAGGTGGGCATTGAGCAGATCTCATTGGCCTACAAATGCTGTGTCCTTCCCTGTCCCACATCATGTCCTTTCCCAGCCCATGCTCCAAGGGAGGCAGGCAGCCATCCTGAGTCTTCTCAGCCTTTCCGACGGAACACCAAAGATTTTCTCTATTTTCTTTTCCCTTTTATTTGCCATAACCACCTTCCATTGCATTCTTCTGCGCTACGGGTACCGTTTTAAGGTGCAGCTTTTTTTTTGAATGTGTTCTTGCAACACATGCACTGCCCTTAGAGTGTTGTCTTAAGCTTTTGTCATGAAAAATCTCTGAGGTAGACAAAAGTCTAGACAATACAGCAAAGCTCTATGTAGCCATCACCAGGCCTGAACAACTACCAACATTCATCAGTTTTGTTTCCTCTAATCTCCCTTCCCCAGGCTCACTTTTTTCTTTCAGGAGTATTTTAACACAAATTCCAGACATCATGTCATTTCACCCAGAAATACTCCAGTACATGTCTCCAACAACAAAAAATGACCTTTAAAAAATTCATAACCAAGTAGATTCTTTTTTAAAAAAAACCACTTCGTGTTTAAGATCCATCCATGTTGCCATGGGTACTTCTAATCTATCATCCCAAGTGATGCATAGGAGCTTGTTCGTGTACCCACCACATCTGACCTTTTCTTTCTCAGTGATGGACAGCAGAATTGTGGACAAGTCCCCTCCACCACAGATGAAGCATCAGGGAACATCGTCATTTCCCTGGGAGCAGAATCGCTGGTCATGTAGTATACACATTTACATCACTTGACAAGAAGACCAGACTGCCCTCCAGAATGGCTGCATCTGTCCACACTCCCAACAACTGGAATTGTGGGTTGCCAACAACTGGAATTACCCAGCTTTCTAACTGTTAATCTAATGGGTGTACAACCTCATTTAAATACATATTTCTTTGGTGATTAATAATGACTGGGTATCTTGTCACATTTGTTAGCTTTTAGGGTTAACTCTTCTATGAAAATTGCCTATCTTTTGCCTATTTTTCTCCTGGGATTGCTCTCTTTTTCCTGACTTGGAGGAATTTCTTGTGTATTCTAGCCATCAGTCACGTGTCAGTTTTAGATAGTGAAAGCATCTTCTCCCATTCTGCCTTCTAGTGCATGGTCAGAACCCTCTTTCTAATCAGATATGCCCCCTTCCCTCCCAGTTTCAGATCCAGGGGGCATCCTGCTCAGGCTTATCTATTCATAGGAGTCATACCCTCCTTGCCGGTGATGGGTCTAAGCCCAGAGTCGTGACTGATTCTCCACTGACAGAGAGAAGGCAGCCAAAGGGCTTCCAGGAAGGATGTCCTCACTCTTCAGAGACACAAGGACAGCCAGACATGGAGCTTCCGCAACCATCTTGCTACCAGCCTGAGGCTAAAACCCACCATGAAGGCTTGGCATCCTTGGTCACATGGTGGAGCCTGTATCAATGAACCTGGGGCCTGCTCCATCTCTAAACTTCCTTTTAAGTGATATAAACGACCTTCTTGTCTCAACTAGATTGAGCAAGAGTTTCTGATGTTGTAGTAAGAAGGATATGGACAGAGATAGCTTCTAAACCAGAGGCTTTCCTTTTTTTTTTTTTTTCTACCATCCACCAGTAAGAATTAATTTCATATATATAACTGAAATAACACAGACCTTTATTATGTCTGATGTGCTTGGATAGCCTACTCTATTGTTTTTTTTTTTTTTAATGCAGGGTGTGAGCCACTACGTTGATGACACAAGCTACTAATGGTCATGACCCAGAGTCTGAAAAATGCTGCTCTAGGTCTCAGTCCTCAGAACTGAAGCCTGAAAGAAAAATAAGCTCTAGTCAAGCAAGGCAGGGGGAAGAGAGGGTGGTGAGGACAGTTCTCTACAAGGGAAGGGGCCAATCAGATACCTCCCTCCCCCAAAGATGACCACAGAATGAGCCTCTGATAAGCTCTTGCTGACTGGCTGTCCCTTCCCACAGCTCTCCTCTCCCAACCATGCCTTTCTGGAGCCATATTCTGTGAACAGATGAGGCTAGAGCTCTTATCTCACCTCTGCCTGGCCCTCAAGATGCTCGGGCCCCAAAGCCTGCTAATTAGAGATGGCTGGGAGGATTACCAGGGCCCTGGTCTGGCAGCTGTGCCCAGCTATAAATTCAATAGCCAGTGGCCCACAGAGTAAGGGCTCACCTTGATAAACCCCCAAGACAAAGCAGGGAGACAGACAGGGCTTGTTCTCAACAGAGCGCTCACTCTCTGAATACAGTTTTTGTTTGAGCCCCGAGGCTGGGAACATTCCATGGCCTGGCGAACTCCCTGTCTTCTCAAGGTCAGTCCTTCCTCAGCATTCCTCTTTGGAAACATCTCCCACGGCTGGCCCTGCTCCTGCCCCCTGGCTTTGGGGGCAGTTATATAACTCTTAGGAAGACCTAGAAATGCAAGCATATGGTGTCCTCGATTCCCGGCACTAACAGGCAGCTTCACATTTTCGCTGGTGCTGAGAGACTGGCTTCACACACAGGCAAGCACACACGTACACATCCCTGACTCATAACCACAGTTCGGCTGCAAAATTTTTATTAATTAAATCCAACATCTGAAGCCACATAAAGGTGAAAGCATAGGACGTTTTGTCCCAAGAACTTGTGGGGAAGGGCAAGTGCATTCCTTAGAACAGGTGGATGGAAAGGCCTCTGAGGCAGGACCCAAGGAGGCCCTATCATCATGCAACCGCCACTGCAGAGCCAAGGTCCTTGCACCCCTGGATTTCGCTCTGAGGGTCTGGCTGGGCAGCAAGTGGCTTGCAGCTGAATTCCCTAAGTCAAGTCTGCTAAGCCCAGTGCTGAACTCACAAATTCAGCCCACATTTATTATGTGCTTGCAATGAATAAAAGGTTAGTGAAGGAAGTCTGGTTGGGAGTGGGGAGGGGAGGAGAACCTAGAAAACGTGCTCTGAAAAATGCTTCATTACAGGCCCTGAAAATTAAGATTCAGAAAGCATTTTATTTAAAGCAGAAAATACGGGTGGATATCTAGAGCAGTGGAGCTGTTAAGAGCACACGGTTTAGAGTCAAGATCAGCCCAGATTCACATTCTGGCTCTGCTACTTTCTAGCTGTGACCTTCAACAGGCCTCTCAAACTTTTGAGTCTTGGCTTTCCAAAATGTAAAGTGGACAGAACGCTGTGAAGTTGGCTGCCCGGATTAAGTGAGATTACAGAGCATTTAGTACAATGGGTGTAAAGAGAAAAGGCTAAACGCAGCTGGTACAATTCACTTTCAGTGCAAGTTGAAACACACCTTCATTTGAACGACGGAATAAAGCCATGTCAACTGGCTTTTCTGTAGCGCTGTAGAGGGTCTGGTTAACCGGAGAGCGGGGGGCGCACGGACCTAGGCAGGCCCCTGACCTGGCCATTTTGCAAGAAGCTACCTCGGAGCGCCTCACTCACCTGGAGGTTGCAGGGCCTTCACCTGCTGGCTGTTAGGGTTACTGCTTAGGAGTGTGTGCTGCACTCGCTTTGCTCGGTCAGGACGAGCCGTACTTGTGCTCGTGGCCTCAGAGCCCGGGTGTGGGATCATGCAAATGCCTTCTCCCTGCCCACCTGCCCTCAGAAGCAGCAGGCGCTAAGGGGGTGTGTTTCTGAAGGCGCAGCTGCTCGAGCGTCGTAGTTGAGAAGGCATGGCTACCGCTTCCCAAGTCCTAGTTAAGTGCAGGTTCTTTGGGGTTACTTTCTCACTTAATTCCCACCATACAGCTAAGAACGCCTCCTCGGGCTGGCTGCCCACGCCGGGACTGCGCACCGTGATAAGCACTCTATCACTGCATACGGACACCTCATTCAGGCCTCCCGCGCCCCCTGGGGCAGGAGCCCGTCTTACAGGTGAGGCTCAGAGGACGCTCGCGAGCGTCTCGCGTTGATGCCACCGCGCAGCTCGCGCCGCGCACGAGAACGCGCGGCTTCGGCTCCGCGCTACGGCGGCCGCCGAGGGTCCTGCCGCAGAGCCAGGCGCTTCGCGGCGGGTCCTCGGGCTGCTGCGGCGGCGGGAAGCCTAGCCAGGCCTTCAGATCAATGCAAGCCTCCGGATTCAGGGAAAGCCAGGGATCTTCCGGGTGGAGGGAGCAGTCTCTGCTCCGGGCACTCGGGTCCGCCACCAGACCGTGGTCTCCGGTCCTAAAGCTAAAGAGTCTCGGCCCGGGCCCAGTAGTCTTGCTGGGATCGCGCAGGTGCCGAGAGTTCAGGCCACCTGCATGCACGGTGCTTAATAAAACCCCAGCGCCTTACCGAAGTATTACAGAGCCGCCACACGTTTTGAAAATCCTGAGGATGATAAAATGATTTTAAGAACTCCTCTAGTTTCACCACCAAGCAAATCACTGTTGCTATTTGCATATATTTGGTTTCATTCCTTTTGTACGTATACGGCTTTATTTTTACATAGCTGTGATAAAATGCACATACAAATGTGAATGCAGGGTCATTTTCACTTTTATAACACAAATATTTCCTTCATGTTATTACAGACTCCCTATCATTTCTAATGACAGGCTATTTTTTCATTGGGTATATATGCTAGTATTTACCAGAGCATTTTCAAATGTTCAACATTCAAGTGGTTCCTGTGAAATTGAATGAAAGGAAACTTCATTAAAGTGGAGTGGGGAGGGGCCCCCTGGGTTGCTCAGTCCGTTAAGCGTGTGCCTTTGGCTCAGGTCATGATCCCAGGGTGCTGGGATTGGGCTACTCACTGTCCTGCTCAGCCGGGACCCTGCTTCTCTCTCTGCCTGCCACTCCCCCTTCTAGCTTCCCCTTCTGCCTTCCCCACTCCACTTTATTATTATTTTTTAAGATTTTTATTTATTTGTCAGTGAGAGAGAGAGAGAGCACAAGAGGGGAGAGCTGGGACCATTCAGGTCAATTACAGGAAGACTTGTCAATTATAAACTCCCACAGAAGAATCCTCTGCAGTAAAGAGTCATCAATTACAGGTTCCAACAGGGAAAGGTGTAGGTTGCATCTCCCACAAGAGTTGGACTACCCTGAAACTCAGCCAATGAGACACTGTCATCACCCTGGACTTGGGCTTTCCTCCAGTGGGCTTTCCTACAAAACAACCCCTCCCAACCTCCTCCTTCTTCTCCATAAAATAATTGTTCCTTTGCTTTGTTGGGCTTGCCTATGGTTTGTCACAGCATGCATGTCCTGAATTGCAATTCTCTCTTATTCCTGAACAAGTCCATTTTTGCTGGTAAAATAACTGACTTTTAAAGTTAACATTCCCAAAGTTACCTCATTATAAATTATTCCAGATAAACATTCTTGTGTACAAAGTCCTCTCAGTATTTAGACCAGTTTCTTTAGGTTAAATGCACAGGAGTAGAATTACTAGGTCAAAGGGTATGAACGTTTGTAAGGGCTCTCAGTATTATTGCCAAATGGCTTTACATGGGAGCCTTTGGCACTTGGAATGCTACCACTTACATTCCAGGATTTTCTTTCAGGAAAACTTCTAAAATGTACTTCCATTGAGATGTCGTTACCCTTTCTGAGAGCATCTACACTTAACCCAGCACCAGAGCTTGAAACCAAAAAGCCTAATGGTGGGCCTTCAGGCATCCAAAGGCAAGTTTGGCAAATTCTTTGGGGTTAGGAGAGTTTTTCTGGTGACCTTGAGTGGGTGACCTCCTATCCTGCCTATGCCTAAGGTTAATCTTGACTCCCAGCCACTGCAGAGAGTTCTAATGGAGGCCAAGCGTCACAAGGCCTACAGGAGAGACAGTTCACTCTAGGAGAAGTGAAATAATTCAAAAATCCACACACTATCAATAACCATATCCCTCCTCTTACAGATGACAAGGTAACAAAGAGTAATAACCTGCGATCCTGGGATAATGCTCCCAAACAGCCACCATGTGCACCAGCTGCCAAGGCACATAAATATCGCTGAGTTGACTCTGCTGTCAGTGTGTGGGTTTCTGGAGTGAGAAATCAAGCCAAAGCCCAGGCCAGCTTCTTGTTTACTCTGTATAAATCTACTCACTGTCCAGAATCTTCAGACCAATTATCGCCACCACTTGTTCTATCTGTCATTTCCAGCGGAGCTGGAGGTGACTAGCAGACAAGCTGGCCCTCGGTGGGCAGGGAGCCTAAGGTTCTTGCAGGGATAAGGGTGCAGAAAGGCAATTGAGAAACATCCCTTCTGAATCGACTCTGTGCCTGGCTGGGCAAATCCCTACATCTCTTCCTACATACACTCTCCCTATTCCGGGACCCTCCCCTACACCCAAGCCTTGGAGAGTCTCTTCCAGTTCACTGATAACCATCCCACACTAGAGTCCTCAGTCCAATTGTAGGGGGCATTGTGATGCACCACCCCAATTCCCCTCCAGAAGTAATGGACTTCTTCCCAGCTGCTGCGGATAGCCCTAGGCTATCAGTCCCTCTGGGTAGTGAGAGGCCTCACCAAGGTCACACCCCCTTTTCCGGGGCATCCAATGACTGGTCAGCATGAGTATAAAAGCTGGTCACCCCAGTTTCAAAGCTCCCTAGAAGATTAGCTGAGGCCTTTGTTGAGACTGCTTTGCAAACCAACTTCTCTCTCTGCCCAAAACATCTTTCTCACTTCCCTTCCCTTCCAAAGGTGTTGATCCCAAAAGCACTCCAGAATAAATGACCTGCATAGAAATCTCTGTCATCTGGGGGAATCCAACCTGTGACCTCAATCCCATATGAAATACTCGCTTGCTACTCTCTAGGTGCCTTGTGTAATAAACATTATCAAGCAATAATAGGGGATAAGCCATAACTCAAAATAGGCGGATTTATGGCTCTGTGGTTACTTTTGTATCACCTCTCTTTTCTGATCCTCACAAGACCTGTCCCACTATCACACCTATGTCCAGGTGTCATAGATAGAATAATGGCCCCCAAGGAGGTCTATATCCTAATACCTGGAAACTGTGACTATATAATTACAGGGCAAAGAGGAATTGAGGTTTTTATTCAGATGATCGAAAAATAGGAAGATTATAGTGGATTATCCTAATGGAGTCAATGTCATCACAAGGATCCTTAAAAGTGGAAGGAAGAGACAGAGGAAGAGAATCAGAGTGGTGTGACTATGGAAGAGGACCAGAGAAATGTAATGTGAAAGGTACTCATTTCTCCCACTGTTGACTTTGGAAATGAAGAAAGGGGCTACAAGCCAAGGAATACAGGTGGCCCCCAGAAACTGGAAAAGGTAAAGAAACAGATTCTCCCCTACAGTGTCCAGAAAGAGATGTAGTCCTACCAACACCTTAATTTTAACCCAGAAAGACCCATGTCAGATTTCTAGCTTACAAAACTATAAAATAATACATTTATATAGTCTTAAGCCATTGAGTTTACAGTAATATAGTCAACAGCAGCCGTTAAGGAAACTCATATACTAGGCAACTCCCTTCCTTAATGATCGCAAAGGGTCACTTACAAGGGAGGGAGATCTCGATAGGAATAATGAAGAGGAAGCCACTGGTCGAACTTCTCACACAAATTACCCTTGGTTCTAGGTATAGACTGAGTGTGTCCCCCTAAAATTCTTATGTTAAAAGTCTAACTCCCAGTGTGACGGTGTTAGGAGTTGGGGTCTTTGGGAGATAATTTGGCCATCGGGGTGGAGACCTCATGAATAAGATTAGTGTCCTTTAAAAAGGGACTCTAGAGAGCTCTGTCACCCTCTTTGTGCCATGTGAGGATAGAAGTTGGTCTGTGACCTGGAACGGGATCCTCACCGGAACCCAACCATGCCAGCACCTCGATCTAGGTGGATTCATTCTCCAGAAATGTAGAAATAAATTTCTGTTCTTTATAAGCCACCCAGTCTAAGGTACTTGGTTACAGCAGCCTGAATGGACTGAGACAGCTCTCTTGCCTTGATGCTGTTATCTAAGGACAAATATTCTAGTATTTCTCCATAACCTACATTTTGGAGTGGGGACATAATAAATCTGAGGATTTTAGCTGTAGAAGAGGGTGTAGGGTTTGTCTCTGGCAATGACTTTCAGGCTTTCTTTTAGCGGAGAAGCTTTTTCTTTTTTTAATAGGAAATCACAGGCATCTAATAGCCAAGGCAGGTTAAAGTAGAGCTGTTCAGATTGAAGCCCAAGGGCTGTGTATCCCTCATCTGAGGGGCTCCAGCACTGAGGATAAGGTTTGAAAATCATGGGCCTAGATCACTAGGCTCCTGGGCTGGAAAGCAGCAGAGCAAAAACCAGAACTCAGGTCTCCAGCCTCGGCCAGAGGTCTAAGCAGAGAGAGAGAGATGGACTGTGGACTCTTCTCAGAACACTCCATGGGGACAGGCTTTCTCTGCCTTCTCTGATCAATGAGATTTTTACAGCATTATAGAACATCTGTAGATTTCCTGCAACAGGCAGATCTACTCCTTTATTTACATGCTTTTATGTTTATGTCTTATTTTGTTGTTCTCTACTGGGTCTTCCCACCCAAAGTCACTCCGTGCATGGAATAGGCAGCTTACTACATGGTGAGATATGTGTGGCAAAAAAAATCACCCCCTGACTCTAACTTCTTGCCCCACCAACCTGCCAGGATGCCTGACACTCCCTCACTGGAGTCACTAAGGCATCACCTTTGATTTGAAGGCTCCCTTCAAAATTCAAATGTCACATTTCATTGATTCCAGGGGTCACACAGTCTCATGTTTAAACACGCTTTATTTTTCTTATTTTTATTTTAAGTAGGCTCCATGCCCAACATGGGGCTTGAAATTACAATGCTGAGATCAAGAGTCGCATACTCCCCCGACTAAGCCAGCCAGGCACCCCATTAAACATCTTTAAAATCAGAATGTAACTTTAAATCTCTGTGTTTTTGTAATTATGATAGTTTGTTTTTTTTTTTTTAATGCTA